TTATAAGTGAGATCTTCATGCTAGAAGAAGCAATGCCGGTATTTCTGTTCCTAGCCAGGGCAGGATTTAAATCTAAATCTAAATTCAGCCGCCTTCTAGGGTTTTTGCTTTTCTGCTGATATCATTATTATTATTGTTATTGTTATGGAACAGCAGTTGTTTGTTCAGTGTTTTAAATAATGACATGAGACTGAGGCATTAGCGAATATTTGTTTTCAACATACAAGTTTGGATGTTTTATGACATATTTTCTTACCACAAGAATACAAAATATGAAACATCATGAAAGAAAATAGATCCAGGATACTTTCAGTGATAAGCTGTTATGATTACTTAAAAACCAATATTTTAGAAGAAAGCAAATATGTAGTCCAGATTGCTGTCAAAATTTGCATAATTTATGTAGAGTGTAAAACACCCAATCCAAAATTTTTGCATGCAGATAATTAAACGTAGGCAATGGCTATCTGTGTTTAGATAGATAAATAAGTGTTCCACTCTAGATATAGAAGTGTTTATATCTGTATAGTATGTGTATATCATTCAAGAAATACATAATATTTAAGGATCCCTCTTAAGTCAAAGGAACTTGCAAATTCTGGAGCTCCTCAGAAAAATTATTTTCCCATTATTTCATGTGAATCTGGACCAGATTTGTAAAGGCCTTTTACTTCTTGAAGATACACATCAAGATTTAGAAGACTTCCATAAGAACTGATATCCACTGAGGAAATACCGAGGAATGATTTATCATTGAAATCACTGTGAAGGAAGAGGCTAAATTCTTTTGAAAATATCTTAGGTGCTTGTGTGCATATTTAAATGCTTAAATATCTATCAAAATTCCAATTAAAAATGGGCCTATATTTTTTGACAGCCAAAATTGAAAATGTTGGCACTGAGGTTTACAGCTTTGCAATTGTATTTCCATCAGTAATTTAAAAATTTTTATTTTCTGTAAAAGTAATGTTGTATTTTCAAAATAACTTTAATCTTTTTATTTAACTTTTACTCTTCATGTGTAAATTAGACACATAAGTGAAAAATGAGTATTTTTAATGTTTTAAAAATACTGCAAATTGTTTTTCAATCTATTAACTTTTCTTGCAATTCTGTGTATGCTATATATTCTATTGCAATGATTTTCTTTGCTAATAGTAATAATGTCTTTATTACTGAAAAAACTTCTAAATTTCTAACAGATAATTGATTTTTGAATGGATATTCTGAAGTTATATAATTATCATCACATCCTTCATATGTTTTCAACTCTGTACAACACCACATTCAGGGCTTGTTGCGGACATATTTTTGTAATGTAAGAGGATACTAGTTACTACGCAACTAATTCTGAGCCTCTTTCATGCGTTTTAAATAACTCTCCTTCTTACGACTTAATAGGGTCACTTCTAATGTCAAATAACTGAATCAAATCCCGAAATATATTCTTCCCTAAGGAGGCTTGTTATACTGAGTTCTCAACCAGGCCCATGATTCCCTCTTCCATACACTCTGTAGTTCTCTACCATGGTGTTGTAAATGGTTTTTTCCTCTTTTTCTCTCCAGCAAATATGGTTTTTCCTACTTTGCAGGCATCTGGTTGTGAGGGAGATAATATTCTAAAGGAACTAGGTTTGGGGTAAGGGAATTTTGGGGAAATGTATTTAAAATATGCTAAAACATTTTTTTGAGAAGAGATGCATATTATTTTATTTCATTGCGTCAAAGTGTTATTTTTATTAAAGCTACATATCTTCTACCATTTCTGTTGTCTGCTATGCGCCAGTTCTGTTGTCAAAGATCAGCAGAGACTAATAAGAAGATTAAGCTATTTTTTTCATAGATAAGTTTGCATGCCACCGAGTAGCAAAGCTGCTAATTACCACTGAATGTGTGAAGATACTTTTATTTGATGTAACATGGCCTGGTGTGCATTAATTATGGTACAAGTAGCCTTGCCACTGAGGCAGAGAATTAGCATGACAAATGATTTAGATTACAGGGTTACCAAAATACCCTCACAATAAGGCTTTAATACTCAGAGTAAATCGAAACTCGTTAGACTTTTATTTTCTGTTGCTAAGTAACTGCCTGAAAAGGTAACTTTGCAGTATAAATGAATATGGACGAGGCTAATATTAGGTGCCATTCAGTTCAAAATTCAGAAATGTTATGTCAACATTAACTGTACCAGATAACTTTATGAAGCCCATATTACCAGTAAAGCTTATATACATCAGCAACTGGTACAATTTTATTGTAATTTTAATAGAGTTAATACTGACATAGTTAAATCATCTAAGGGAAAATGAATCAGTCACTGGAAAAATGTGATTTACAGATGCAGACATTGAACTACAGATTTTATAACAGCTGTTGAACCTGTTGAACTAATGCTGTATGCTACCTATTATACTAGTTAAATCACTTGTTAAATAAGATTTTTATTTCAAAATTTGATATTTATTATCCTGATTATTTTTCTTTAATGCAAATATATATATATCTTCTCAAAAAATAAAATTTTCATCCCTATGGGAAATGCATGTTACCTGAAGAACTTAATGCACAGTTTGTTGAATCAATGCAGAAATAGAATCATAGAATCATTTAGGTTGGAAAAGACCTTTAAGATCATCGAGTCCAAACTAATAAACTTTCACCAAACTTCACAATATGAAGTTGTATTTTATTGTGGCTATTTCTAATATTATTGTGAAGTATACTATTTAAATGTGAATGCTTTGCATGATCCAGGCACACAACTGTGCCTTTGTACTCTGTGGCTGGATATATATGTTGAAATATTCTATTTAGAGACATTTGAATTGAGTAAAATCCTAAAATACCAACAAGAACTTTTGATTGCTGATGCAAAATATTTCAATAAATATATCATTATTTGTTGGCGGTTTATGTTGATGTTATATACACATTTTTCCCTTCCACCTTTTTAACAATACAGAAGTAAGCCAATGGTCTTTTAGTCAGCAGACCTGAGGATATTCCTTCCATGTTTTCAGAGTAGAACTCTTCTCATTGCTTTTAGGTAAACTGGATGAATGCTAAGAATAAAGTAGAAAAAGGAGAGTAATTCAGGTTCCTCAGCAGTCAATGGAAGCCTGAACATTGATTCAATGAAGACCGACATTTCCCCAATATAGCTTAAAGTACTTAGATGTTCCTACATTATTCTCTTATATTTCATATATATTTTCATAGATATTGCAGCATCACAATTTAATTGGTAGTGACTTTATCAGTTTCAGGCAGGAAGCAGAGTTATGCCAATAATGCCAAAGGCTGCCCTGAATTACCCCAGATTGTCCACTAGTAGTAAAACTGAAGTTCCTGTCTCAGTGCAAGAGGCTGGCTTCTGAAATGAAGGTTTTGATCACCAATAACACTATGCTGATGTTACCGCACTGCTATGCAATGTTCTGATTTTGTGTGGTGGACCACATGTGCAATTTCCAAACTGGAAAATATTTTGATCCACTGTTCTCTGCTTCAATATAAATTCATTGGTTTTGTCAATCCTAAGAGACTTTCCACTGCAGTGTGTTTCATTTTCCTTGTAGTACTCTAGTAATAACTAGATTAATTAAACTCACCCCATTCTAAGATGCATGTTTTCTTAGACTGTAGTAGTAAAATTTCTAAGTTGAATCTTCATTTTCTGTCTTCCTGTAGTTGCATAACAAATGTGCTTCACATCTAAAACCTGAATGTGACTGTGGACCTTTGAAGGACCATATCTTACCACCCACATCAATCTGCCCAGTAGTATTGGTGAGTTGTTTATTTCAGATGTAATCCTTTGTCATAGGTAACGGCTAAAATGAGGGTGGTACTGACTACCAGAGTATTTGTTAAATTAACAAAGCTGTGTGAACCTTAAACACAATGGGTAATCCTGGCTGATGAGTTTATAGGCACAAGCGTGCTTTATCCTCCGCATATTGCATTTTCCTTCATGTGAGAATGAACTTTCTGTAGGGCATATTATAACTGAAGCTGACTCAGGTTTTATCACTTACTCAGACTGTACTTACCAGAAACTGTATAGGCAGAACACTTCTACATTTTACATCTTTTATAGATCCAACTTCCCAGAATAATGAAGTTATTCTTATGGACAGTTTTTGCTTGGGATGCATATTGTATATCTGCAATGCTGAGGTCTCTGATCTAAGCCGGAGGTTACCTAGAATGATGACATTGGTCTTGCAGTAAGCTATGCATCAACATTATGTATATTTTATTCTGCAGTCGTGGACAGTAAATTTCTCTGTCCACCAAAACAATAACTCAATGAAAATAAAAATGCATGCTATGTGTAGGTTGTATAGAAAAGAGCTTATCATGGAAAAAAAAGCTTTGGAATTAACTTACGTATTCGTATATTAAATTGGATGTTTTATGCTGATGAAAGTCATAGCATCATCATATTCATAACAGAACAGACGTGTGGTCCTCTCACTTTAAATACATTTCATAATAAGAGTAAGAAATGCTTGAACTTAAGAAAGAATGATTTGTTGCAGGGAGGAAAAACAGGAAAATATACCTTCTAATCTTAAACCTGTTTCTGATCATTAAGAATAATACTCATGCCTATTGTAAATTACTTGTTTTCTGATTAATCCTTTTGGCTCTTTGTTTATAAATCTGCTAAGGGATGGATGCTAGATTTTGGCCCTCTAGTTGAGTAAACTGGGACTATTCCATTGCTGTCAATGAAGGTAAAGCAATGGAAAGCTGGCTTTGATGTTTATGAAATATTTTTAAATATTTTTGAAAAGTCATAAGAGTAGTTTTGTAGTCTGTCTGTAATAGTATTTTGATATTACCTGGACAGGTTCTGAATAATAATTGTAAAATACTATTTTAAGTTTGTTGGATGATTACATTCTGCATTACATTATTTGATTTTCAGGTTTTTAGGTCATACTTTAAAAGTTAACATGTAGAAATTATGATTTTGTAACTGGACTGTTTTCATTTTATTGTTATTTATTGTTTGCCATTCTTATAAATTGAATAAAGCCTCAGCATGAAATTTCATCTTCAATTATATTTGCGTAACTCCATTTTCTTTTCAGGAGAGGAAGAGGGATAGAGGAATTAAGATTTTCATTCCACAATTGGAGTTTAGTTAAGTTGTTTAGAGGATATATAAAACCACTCTAGAGTCAAATCACCCTTGAATAGGTTTGTTTTATCTGCAAATTTTGAAGGCATAAGCAGAAATAAATACGTTTTCCTGTATCAGAATCATGTTTCAGTATTACATACTAATAATGTAACATAAAACACGTATTTCAGCACAATGTTTATTGTTAGGAATGGAAAATATATTTTACTGTGATTTAATGGGAACTTTATAATTTCGTAGTATATTTGTTCATCTAGTAGATTCTTCCAAAAATGCATTAAAATCCTGAGTATACTTACATTACAAATAATACATCAGTGACCTAGCTAATAGGAATTCCTCCTAGAAACGATTGATTACAGTGTACTTAGTAATCTTAGTAATTTTTTAATTAGTTTCTCCCATTTCCTGTTACGGGGATTCCTTTAATCTTCTTCCTTTACGGGAGAAACATAATACTTCAGTGTATGTGAAACCAGCACTCTCAATAATGACAGCAAAAACAGTGAATATATCCATGCCAAATTGTCTAAAGATACAATAGTAAGTGTGTCTGTTAATACAAATGATGTGTTCAGACATATCAAATCTGATTTACCTGACAGTGGAAGGGTCCTTCACCTAGGACACACATTTAGCTTCAATGATCAGCTGAGCAATAATATTCTTGCAATGCTACATATATGTGGAAGGTAAAGAAACACAGATAACCACAATGATTTCTGTACCAGGTTTATCCTTGAGTATTTTGAGGTATCAGAGAAGAATGTATCTCCTTCTCCCATAGAATAAGTTATAGGAGTTGTGGGAAAATAGCAAGTTGAAAAATTGTGATCTCCCTAAAGTTTTGACCCTCCCTTCCATCTGTAACTTTGGTAGTCCAGACTTCTTCCAGAAAACTGTCAGAGTTCATCTCAGACCAAGATGTCTTCTCCTAAGTTTCCCTTCAAGAGTACAGGCTAAATCCCTTCTCATCTTTTCTCTTTTGCGGAACTAAGGACATTCATATTTTTACCTTTCTCATCCCAGCATGTCTCATTTCTTCAGTTCTCGTGAGGTCCAGCCTCGACTCTTTCTGCAGAGATAAAGGGGATTTTTCATAAATTGCATTTCACAGCACCATGTATTATACCAGAGCTACCAAACTGGTCTCTCAGCTGCAATTTGTTGTTCAGGTCCATATGCTCTCAGTTTTTCCATTTCCTAGGTATCCATTGACGTCCAAAATCACTGCTGCAACTGTGAAGACTAAATAAAAAACCTACCTTTCGTGATTGTAATAAAGGGTGACATCTCTCTCCCCCCTAAACATAGCCATCTCAGCTCAGGTGACTGTTCTAAATTACTCATTTAGGGTCTCTTTAGACACAAGAGAGATTCCTCTAAAATAGACTGACTGGCGTGATCCTCTCATACTGTCCCTTCTCTTAATGGCTGGAGAGAGAACCTAAATGCCTGGTCATCTGAAAATTAGATGACTGGTCTAAGTTAAATAAGAAGGCTCCCATCTCCAAAATGGCACAAAATGGAACTCGTCAAATGTCTTTCCTAAATATGATAAGCTACATTCTCAGCTGAAAAAAAAAAAAGGGGAAACTCGCACAGTTGATACTGTGTATATCATGAAAGAATCTGTCTAGATTCAATGCCATATAAAGATTTTTCATATCTCACTGCAATACTTTTAAATGTTTCGGTAAAATGTAGTCTGTTAACTTTAAAACTAGTCCTTTTCACTTTTCTGTTTACCAAATATAAGGCTTGTTGTACAGTGAAGTTTTTTGTTTAAGTTAAATGAGTTTTGTTATAAACTGTGTGTGCAGATCTCAAGTGATAGTCTTTTAATAGATGTCAGATACACTTTAATGTTACTCTCTTTTATTTCGGTAACGTTTTAATTAATTCATACTGATTGAATAAATGTACATTGAGACTTGTTTCCTAATGAGGGCACATTTAGAGGAAAGGTTTTGCATCATTCTGATATCCTGTGGGTAATTATATTCTAATTACATGGTGGGGGGAAAAAGTCTATAACTCAGTGCTGATATTGTTCATTGGACCCAATTAATTACATGCACATAATGAAAGTTCATGATAAGGTTGACTGGCAGAGAGTTTAAAAATCTTTAACTCAATTGAATCCTAGCCTACCAAGAGTACAGAATTAGATCATAACCAGGTTAAAAACTGGGTATTGGAGTGAGATGAGGTAGTAGTGAAGAAAAAATATTGGTCTCTCCTTACGGTACAGCTTCTCTCCCCCCGCCCCTTTACAAGACAGGAAGGGAAAAATGCTAACATACATTATTTTTGGTGTCTTCATTTCACGCCTTCCTTTACTTTGCTCCATTTATTGATGAACACATAGGATGTTCTAATTCGTATTTATGTTTGTAGGAAAGTCATTAGATTTTTCTATTTCCCACCAAAATAGATATAGCCTTGGGTAATGACAAATCAACCAATAAAAGCCTACTATTTAATAAATACGTATTTATTTCATAATGTATGATGACTTTGAGTCTCCTATTGTTTATGTGAGTTTTACAATGAATTATTTTTTACTTAATTTCTAACATTGGTTTTGAAAACTATAATTAAAACTGTTAATCGTGGAATAAAAAGAAAATTATGGAATAAATTGTAAAACATAAGGTACTCTGATTATGGTGTGAGCGTTACTATATGGCAGTTATCACTGTCTCCATAGTAACCAGTTTATTTCAGAGGGGGAGGGTCTGGTGTAATATTGAAGACAAGAAGTGAAAGAAATAAAATTTAAAATTGGATACATTTCCTTGTGTTCGATTTTTCAACTTCATTGTTCAGCATTCTCGGACAAATTGGTCATCACGATAAAAAGTTTAGAACAACTCACTTTTTGATTCTTTTCTCTTGTGAATGAATTTGGCTTTTCTTTTGTCTAGTGAAGATGCTTATAACTTTTTAGGACAAAATAATTTAACGAATTTTATTTATATAAATATAGAATATATATAGAGAGAATTCAGTATATATAAAATATATATAGAATTTTTATACATCATAGAGTAAACTTGTTTATATACATTCAACATAAAATACCATCATAAGTCGAATTCGCTTGACCTCTTACTTTAAAATATAAACGGATATTTATTTTGGTGGAGGAAACTGATGTATCTGATTTGGGTTGGGTTAGGGTTGGTTTGGCATTTTATTGTACAAGAATACAAATGTTCAAAAATTTTTTGTTTATAACTAGTTCTATTTAGGCACATAAAAATATACACAGCAGATTACAATTGTTTTAGCTAAGCAATGTGCCTTGTGCAACTGAATGATATACATTATGATCTGTAGCTTGAGACTTTTGTGTAAATACAGCAAGTGTGTTGAGGTGCTGGCAAAAAGTAATACATAATTAAGTTGAAAATATCATACAAGAATTTTCTTTGACTATTGGTACTTAGAGAGACTAGATAGAATAGCTAATGGCGGTGTTATAATTGCAACGTAGTTCAATAGATATTTTTTCCATGTCTGGTAATATGTTTTACTAATACTATTTTCCTGTGAGGTAGGTAGATGTTACTCACACAGGAAAGCAGACATGTAGAGAGAAAAAGGCAACTAGCAGTTGCTGGTTGAAGAATGGGCTTTCTTGATCCCTTTTCCAGTTTTTAATCCTAAAATGATCCTTCTGTTTTTATTATAGTATAGATCAGTTTTAACTCAGTTGAATCCAAGCTCAACATGGAGTGCAGAAAGTCAGTGCAGTGTGTAAGCATCTTTATGAGCAACTCGATCCTTTGAAGTTGAGTACTAGCCTTATTCTGAGTCTCTGAACAAAGATACTACAAAAAAACCCCAGTTATTTGAATATATACGCTTCTGTGGGGGTGGAATTTAAATCTGGTTGTTGAATATTAGGTAATGACATAGCAATGGAAACAGATTTAAAAAACAAAACAAAACACTTTTTTCCTTTCCAGTTGCCTATCATATTGCAGATTCAGTTCTTTGAGAATCTAAAACAGACTTGAAATATAATGGTGTGCTTATCTACACTAAGAGCTTTTTCATTTCTTTGAAGTCAGAAGGAAATTAATAATTGCCCTGGAGGAAAATGTATCTTCCTAACTAATTATCTGTTCGGCAAACACAGTTCAATGTTAAAATAATAAGATGCTGATAAACTGAAACGGCAGCCATTCAATCATTTTAAGTTATATCTAGTTGCCTGCCCACAACTCATCACTACTGTCTGTCCGTAAGTTTATTCCTTACATCCTCTTCTGTTGGAGTTTAACATGTTTTTATTTTCAAAATTTTTTTCCAACTCTTCTGTCTTTCTTGGATGATGTATATAATTGCCTGCTATAGCCTAAGTTCATTTTAGGTTGCAAATTAAATTAAAAGTCTTGGGCCCTGCTCTTGGTATATGTTGAATGGGTGCAAGATGTAAGGCAAGTTATCTTCAGCCAACTAAATGAACTAAGGCCGACATGCTAAATGAGAAATACTTGATAGTGATTTTGATGTGTAATTCTTTACATCTTTATTAAAACATATGAAACAATCAGCACAAAGTGTATATATATAAAGTTATCATGTAGCGATTCCTTGTTCAGAAGTCTTGCAGTCAGCTATTTGGGAAGGTATTCTCAAATGACAACGTCTCTGTTCCAGCCTTGTCTTTTTTTCCACGTATTTTGGCTACTAGTATTATGGGTGACAAAACACCTCCTTCTGATTGACATAATGTGATTTTATTTGTTTGTTTGTTTATTTTAGCTGTAAATGTTTCTATTAAGACAGCTCTCAGATAAATTAGAAGCTTTACCTTTCCTTTATAGTATGGGCATACTATAGAGCTGGGTATTGTGCTACAGCTCTATGAGCTTTCAAGGCAGCATGATGTAGTGTCCTAATGTTGGCCCTTCTGATGAGTATGTACACAGGGTTAGAGCTGGAAGTGTGGAGAAAATTTCATAAAGTAAATTTTCAAAATATTTTAGCACAGCTAAGTCGTAGTTAGCTGGATGTGATATCTAATAGATTTTACAGATAGATTGCTCCCCAGGGTTTTGGGGTAGTGGTGGTGGGTTTTTTGCAGTTTTCAAGGTGTTTTAATCTTTGATTCTCTTTGGTTATTGTGTAACTATGGACAGAAATTGCATGGAATGGAATTTTTGTAAGCAAGGTCTTGAATACCACATAGATTTACAACATAAAATCTAGGAGTACCTATTCTAATATTCCATTGCATATTAAAGCACAGGTTTTGCATCCCTTGGAGATTCCCATGTCATTAAACAAAATAGCTTTAAGGAATCATGGAGCAACCTTCCTCCAAGTTCCTTAAAAAAACCCCAAAGCATCAGTTTGGTATTCAAGTCACATATTTAAACTTCCATGGCCTTCATCCTGCAAACATTTGAGGATACCTTTACATGATATTCCATGCATTCCATTTGATCTTCCATGATCAGATTCCCCTGATCAATATCTTTCAAGGTCAAGTTTCAGAGTTCTAAAATAAGATATTTTTTATAACTGTTTCAGTTTATGCATCTTAACATAGAATTTGGTTCTCTCCTTATGCACCCTCACCCCCAAGTTGGGCATTAGGGTATATGCCTCATCTGAAGGCATATAATATAAAAGAAGTAATTATCATATAGAAGTAATCTCAAGTTTTCAGTAGTTACTTGACAAACTGTGTAATGGTATTAATCATTCACTAATGACTTTACAATCCTATTTCATGTATAAATAAATTGTTGTTTAATGTATAAAATAAATTGTTTTAAATAATCTCAGCTGTGTACAAAATAATCCAGAAAAATAGATTTGCACTTACTGATTAAGAGACAAGGTGAGAAAAAGCGATTTTTGCTGCATTGGCGTTGGGTTCTGTGTCAGCAGTTAAAATGTAAAGAGGTAACTATTTAGTAAGCCATTAGTTACTATTAATCTGTTTTCTTATACCGGCTGTGATAGAGTATGATATTTCTAAATGTCAGTGTTTTGTGTAAAGGAAAAGACTGTACCTCTATATAAAGAAAGAATAGAAATACTTTTTGAGGATGAATGTTGTATAACTTGTCAATTGTATAGAAGAAAGCTTTTTAAATAAGATTCCTCACTTTGGACAAGGACTCAAAGACTTGGAAGATAAAATAAAAAGAATACTCCCCAGGTACCAAGTATCTCTTTTTACTATTCAAAAGAATATAGTCCTCAGGTTTTCTAATATTTTTAGCTGGTGATAAAATGATCCCACACATACGTTCCAGAATATAATGATATAATATGACAGCCAAAACATTGGGGGAGTAGGGTTGTGCAAATGTGTAAAAAAGCGCCATGTACCTTTTTTTTAAGTACAACTGCTGCAAGGTAATGTTCCTCGTGAGCGTTCTCTCCATGCCCCTTGCCGTCCCAGCTGTTCGGTGTTGCAGCCTAACATTCTCTTCTTCCAACAGACGCTACCCACTTTAGGAGGTTTGCTGCCAGAGGTGCGTAACGGGAGGCATCCGTGTATGCACGAGTACTAACGGATCATGATAATGTACATTCTTCTTGCTATAAAAGTGCATTTTGGGGCTGAACTAAAAATCTAGACATGGTATTCTGTGTTGTCATCTGAAAGGCCCTGTCTTATTTATCAATTCTTTTTTCTTATGTGGATGCATAAGGAATAGATACAATTGAATAGTTCTTATCTGACGGTGATCTCTCTGGAGCAATACTGAATGGTAGAAGCTCCAGTTAATGGATATTGACTTCAAAGTGGGAGTTCAAGGGGAGAAAAAAAGGCATGAGAGGTGCAAAAATGGGTGGAAAAAATTTTTGTTGTGGTAAGTACTATTTTGAAAGGTATGTGCTCTGGCACATACCAAAAGAACAGAAAAGCTTGTTTCTTTGAGCCATCAAAATGTACAATAGCTTTTAAAATGCTGTATTCGGTATCTCTATCAACCTCATGCATGTCCACTAAACAAAATGGTTCACAGATACATTTATCATTTTGTATGCTGCAATTAACAAGAAATTAAATACAGCACATTTCTTACCTTGAAAAATAATGTTTTGCATTTTGTAAAACCATTTATTCAATGCATGTCAAATATGTCTTAACATTGCTAGAATTTGTAGGCTGTTATCCACAGGTGATTTTATTAAACTGTTATTAACTCATTAAAAAATCACACTGTTTAGTTTCTGACGCTCTTGGATAGCTTAGTAATGTTACAGTTCCTGAAAGAAAGTTATTCAAACAGTCATGTATGACTGGATTACAAAGCCAGCTTTCTATTTCATATATAAAACAAAGTATCTGTGCAACAATATTTAAAAGAGATTTTTTTAAATGAAATGGTAAATCTTTTTGTGTTCCATTAATAGATTTATTCAGTAGAATTAAGATACACATTATTACATTATTTCATACAAGCTGTAAGTCAGATCCTCACTAGTCCGACACATATCTAGAAACTATAGGATATATAACTCTAGGAAATCTAGAATCTCCTATCAGCTGCTTCAGAAATGTTTCAAAGAGCACTATTGGTACATGTGGTGACATGTATTGTGGTATCATATGCATATAAGATGGGTGATACGAAATACTTTATTTGTACTTTCTTCAAAAATCATCACTGAAGGAAGCAGACCTTCAGTGATAATGAGGTCAAGTGTCCATATTTGATTTTTTTAATAACACTCTAGACAATTCTGTATCATGAAATATAGTTTTTTCTTTATATTGTGTGAGGTGTATGGCCTAATCTTGTGTAGTCACTGCTTAGGAGAAGCTCTCTTTGTCTGTGAGTCAAGCAATTGTTTTGCTTATGGGACAGGTAATATAAATTGGAGAAGGAATGTTGCTGATGCAGCAGTCATAGGGCCAGGGCCAGCTGAGGGTATTTGCTGCTATCTGTATCGTGCTGGAACAAAAAACAAACCGATACCCAAAACTTTGCTTGAGGTAATTGTTACTGCGTTTCGCTGGTGAATGATTGATAACAGCAGGTTTGGGCACTGTGGTAAGCATTCTTTATGTACAGACAGTTCTCAGCAGTGTATAAATACTTTTCCTCTAAGTAATAGCATGACATATGCAAGAAGATTTTTAGTGGCACACTTTATAAGTAGGCCTCTTTTGAACAGTGTTTTTTTAACCTTTCTAAATGCACATACTCAGTGTGCTGGATCTGTTCCTTTCTGTTACCTTTTTCTTCGAACTATCGCAAATATGTTGTATAGCTTAAAATTTTTCTAGACTTTTTAAAATTTGCTCTCCATCTCTGATTTTTGTTAGAAATCAGTTTTTTTTACTAGCTGTGCTGTCTGCATTACTGACATCTGATTTTTTTTTTTGAAGATGTTGCAATATCCAAGAGCCAGGTTTGGCTATAATATAAAATCCTGTTTAACATGGTATGCTTACTTTTTATAAAATGGAGTGACTTTTAAGGGTAGTTATTCGCAAAGGTGTTTAAAACCCCAAAGCTGCTTCTTACATATGTGATGAAGTATGAAGCTTCCTTCATACTGAAGTTTCTTACTCTCTATCCTTGGCACTAACCAATACTATTGTGCGTTAATGTTTTGTGTTAGTTCACAGATGTTATTCTGTTTGGATGCCTCATCCTAATTCTAGTTTCTAAAAAATCGCCAAATAAATAAGTGCAGAGTCGGTGGTTTCTTAGGCAGTGATATGGACAGTGCTTGTCTGTGTTTTGAAGGTTAGGGCTGAGATGAATAGCTCTAATTGGTTTTACTGTTTTCTGTTTAAAGCAACAATATTGTAGTCTAGACTCTTGGACCTCCTCTTGAACTGGTCAAGTTACTCAAAGCATCCAAGAGCTCAGTTAACTAACCCCTTAGGAATCTCACTGCATATGGGAAATAGTGTAGACTCCCCTGTTTTTTTTTCTGTGGCAAAGGTTTGTCAGTCCTTTTACAGGAAATGTGATCAGATTGCCACAGTTCCCCAAAGCACTTGGCTGCCCAAAGCAGCCTGGGATGACTTGGGCCACTATTTGCATCAGGACTAGGTTGAGGCTGTGTCAGTCTCCAAATTTAAGGAAAACAAAGATGGTCTAAAAACAGTGATGGTCCACATCTGTGTTACAGTAATAGTAGGAAGGCGCTGTATTGAGCTGGGAGTTATGCCCTTCCTGCCAGAGAATCTGTGTCAATGTTTCTTAACGGTTTAAACTGCTCCAGAAAGAGTGGCATGGATTAATTGCTAGTGCAATCCCTAAAGCTTTCTCAGAGGTACCACAGAGATGGATTTGGCCTGGTGTGGAACGTAAATGGTAACACTTAATGAACTGCTTACTGAGTGCAGTTGCAGGGGGTGCAACAGTGTCCTTCATGCTCCTTTCTAGCGCAGCAGCTTTGTGCCAGCCCATTCCCCTGACTAGTTTAAAGCCTTCTTGTGCTTGTGTAGTGGGGAAAGTGACTGGGGTGCAGTCGGGATTGGGGACACTGATTCTATTTGATAAACATCTGCTGTCTTAATTTATGGTGCATTTTTGGACAACCTAAAAGGACATGCTGGGTGCAGTTTATAAATACGATAAACAAGATACAAAGAAGGAGGACTTTTTTTTTATTATTCAGAGTTCTCTGAAATGACCTGATAACAGTTGAAAATATGATTACAGCAGCGTACTTCTGAGCTTTCCTCATTCAAATAACCATCTGATTATGCTGTGCATCAGCATGAAAAGGTGCCAACGGCTTAGAATCTGATGTAGATTCTCATTTCTTTCTAATACAAAATACAGATTTTATAAAAAGCCACTCGGCCAATTGATTATGGTACATTTAGAACAGGTATATTTTGCCAAAGTGGTAAAGTACTCTTGAAGCATCCAACCTTTGCTAGCAGTCAGGATGAAATTTTGATAAATTACTGATCTCTTATCAATGTGCTTATTAAACAATCAAGTGTGTTGTATGATTGGCTTGCAAGTTTCAGAATGCCATCCTGGCAATGTCAGATTATCTTTTCACGTCATTGCATTAATTTGTGTTGTGACTGCACACTTTTCATCCATCTATTGCCTGGTCATTATGGAATGTCCAGGCACGTAGATAGATGTTACGTGAAGTGACCTGACATTGTGGAATAATTTGACTGAGATCTCATTTTCATTAAAGCAGAATCTGACATTACTCTCTAGTCAAAAAACAACTTTGTGGAGGCACAGTCTCAGTTACAGTTGTATAGCATTATATTATGTGTTAAAATGTTCCATTTTCTCCTTTTCTCTTCTTTTTTCAAGGAAAGGCAGGCAACAGTGAAAAAAGAAAAGAGTTGCCCACAGCAAATGAACAAACTAGGAGAACGGAACAAAATGCAAAGAGCAAATTCCGTCACCGTAGATGGACAAGGTCTTCAGGTGTGATTATTGTTATTTTAATTTTAGGGAGATACTTGTAGTGTATGAAGACAATGATAGAGTGAGCAATCTTTAAAGTGAAATATTTCCTATGGATTCACCTTTCTAATATTTCACGTTTATATATTTAAAAATGTAATAATAAGGGAAATTCTTCCATTTGTACAGGAATTCTGTGGTGCAGATCTGCTTCTTGTGTGATTGGTAGGATTTCCTAAGACATTAAGAGGGAGTTCAGCTGAAGCTGAACTCAATTGTTTCAGTATCTGTCACGCAGCATTGTGTGAATTTACATTATAAATCTGAGCCTATGTCTTGATAACTGTTCACTATTCTCATTTGGACCTGTTAATTAATAGAAGAATGGAGTAAACTTCAATGATATTATTTGTCCAGGTATTTCCAAATAGGGTATTTGGCACATCAAAATTAAGAGTGGAGAGAAGCAAGGTGGTTTCAGTAATAGTGATATCCAGAATAAAAATGGAAGTTTTTTCTACTTGAAAGAAAAACCTGTGTGTGTGATGAGCTAATGTTATTTTAGGGACGTTACTTAGAGGCATGCCAGACGTTCTGCCTGAACTGCTTACTTCTTTCCCTTGAGAATGAGTACTTTTGCGTAAAGTCAATGTACGCATATATGGTGCTGCTTCTTTATTTCCTCAGGACTTAAATGATCATCATGATAACAATGTGATAATCATTTGATATACATAGTTGCCTGTTCTCTGTATCTTTTGATGTGTTGCAATTGAGGTTCAGTAAAATGTAAAAGATTTCATTACCATATACCAAATGCTGTATACCTCATAATTATTTCATGATATACCTTATTATGTCATGATAGAAAGGCTTATTTTATTGTTTCATCTTTTTAGGTTAGTGAAACATTCTTGTTATGACAACCCAAAGAAAAAAAGAAAAGAAAAAAAAAAAAAAGAAACCCTAAAACCTATGCAGTCACGTGGCTGCTCCATTGATGGTCTAGTAGAATATTACAGTGATCGTTATCTGTGGCTTTCAAAGTTCTCTTCCTGTACTTACCATTCTCACAGGCTGCATTGCTATCCAGATCATCCATGACAGATAGAGCATGAAGCAAAAGGGCTAGAGTATTCATTGACAGAAAGCTCAAGTTCTGTCTAATCAGTCACAGTGTGAAGAGTTGTTCTAATAAACTGATGCCAGAGGAAGCACACAGAGTTTTCGAACTCTTGGGTGATATCCGTGCAATTCCAGTGAGCCCAGCTGCTATAAATTGAGGAACATCATTGGCATCTCCTTTCGGTAGCAGTGCCATGTATCATTATGAGTTTTGGTTTTACCCCAAGCATTAGATTGCTTATGCTCATAGTATATTTCCAGGTATTTTTCACGTCTCTATTTCCCATTCATGGGATACAGTGCCTGGTCCATTCAAAATAGCAAACTCCTAGCACCACTGACTCTTGCACACACAACCTTAAATTATTAAAATTTCTGCTTTGAGATCATTATGGCATAAGATTTTCTATGAGTTCGTTAGTGTGATCCAAAACTTAAGTTTTAACTTCTCTTTCCATGATGAATCCAAAGCCTAGGATTCATCATTACTTTTGTGTATTATTGCTTGAGAAAGAGAGAAAGGAAGAGTGAGGACTAAGATGGTAGAATACTTATTGAATGGATTTAAGGTGTTTTCTGAACTGCCTGGTATTGTTCTATAATGCCACATCTATAATTTAGTGCATGATGTAATACTGGTAACAGAAATAATTCTGCAGCGATGACCCTAATTTGGTGATTATACTGTGGTCTTCGATTTTCTCTGTTGGATAAAATTGGTGTGGAGTAATAGGAATCCATCTTAGCACCAATTATTAAATTTTTGATCGGTATCAATAACGATAACCTGATCATTGTGAAGGCTGAGTGGATCTCGAAGGATACCATAGTGAAAGGCTGAGATTAGTGAGACTGTTAGGTTTTTTTTCACTCACAGATTGTATAATTTTGGGACTATTTCCACAAAGATGTAAGATTCCATAAATATAACTGATAATTAATGTTAGTATTTTGCCTAAAGATGGTCTGGAGCAAAAAATGTCTGTAGCTTATCAAAGTATACTACTATAGTTCTCCCATATCTGGCCAAAGCATGCTACTGTCATTCTAATACTGTAATTTTGCTGGCATGGTCTCATTTTAACATGATCTTCAGTGATTTCAAAGAACAAGAAAAGAATATTTGTGACTTTTTTGCAACCTTTTTTATTCAGAAAACTTGATCGTGATGTTAATTGCATTTGTTTATGATTTAAGTTCCCAAGATAACAAATCAAAGATACCTAGCAAATCTTCATACTACTCCTGTAAGAGCTCTGTTTTCAATATGGGAGAAGCTATATATAATTTGTCCACCACTTCTTTTTTAATATTTTTTTCTTTTTTTTTTTTAAGTCACTTGTCCAATAACTTTGTGGAGATTGCCTTTAAATCATGCTAGATTAAGGCTTGAAAATTTTCACCAATTTAGTCTAAATCTTTAGTTGCATTGTTCATTATATGGAAAGATCTACGTTATCTAGAAAAGTAATTTGGAAAAGCTGTAAGACATTAATTGAAAGAGACCTTATTTTGGAATTGAGTGGAATACAAACTGGTTATTAGATTTTTTTGATGGTCCTGAACCTTCTACTTGTAATAATATGGTTAAGTTTTGAAATAAAAGATTTAAAGTAGAACTAAGTTCATCATTTAGCTTTTGTTGAGAAAAGTATCAAGACCAAACCTTCCTTCCATCAGACAGCAGTTAGCAGATAACTTAGTGGCAGTGGAGATCTGCACGACTTAAAGACAATTAATCATAGTTAAGCACATTCATCTTACTTCTTTCTAGCTAACCAGCATAATGATCAGGATTATTATTTCTAATTAGAGGAAGTAATAGATCATGTATAACCTTAGGATGAGTCTCATTAATTAACCTGCGTCCTAAGGGATTTCAGTAGGTAGTCCATCTCTGTCACAATGAGCACCATTGGTTTACACTTAGTTCACAGGAACAAACATCACAGGAATTGGCTAAATAACTAAAATTGATTAAAACAGTAGATAAAAGATGAAATATATGACAAACTTCACTATATCCTGCAATTTGATATATGTTTCAACATACAGCACTTTACTGTAGCAATATACTGTGACAGAATGTGATACTGGGTTGGTTTTATGCTAGGTTTAATTCCACTGAGTTTGCTGGAGTTTTTCCTTATTTGTTGTATATATTGGAACAGATTTGGATCCATTGTTTGTAAAGTTACGGATGGAGTTGACACACTAGTGCCTAACACTTCCTAATAGAAGAAAAGTGCTTTTAGATGCCTATAGGATTATATGCCTATGTCTATAGGATGCCCGTATGACTCCTCAGCTGTCATGTTTCTCGGGTTCTGCCTTAAATTACATTTTATGAAATCTGTAGCTGAAAAGATTTTGTTATTTCAGGAATTATGAATAAGGATTTGGAGCAAGAGCTTTCAATGTATCATTTTGAAACAGAGACAGTCTAAGCTTCACCTCTGAAGTTGTTAGTGCCTGACTTTTGGAGATGTTGATTTTGAACTCTTAATATGCTTTTAAACATTCTAGAGCTGATACATGTCTAAGAGTAATAATTTTTAATATGAATAGTCTAGCTTTATGGTTTAAAAACAGATATTAGAGATCATCTGATGTAATTTTTTTATGTTCTTCAAAATCTATGGAGCAAAGGCAGGGAACGCTCATGTCTTAAAGTATCTGAAAGTGCAGACTAACACTATTACTTTAAAGGAAGGTGTTAATTTGTAAAGCTAAACATTAATGTGAACATGTAAAACTTTCCATGCACAAAAGAATTAAAAAACATCATAGAAGTCATTGTTTCCTTCACTATATCCTCCTCTCCATTCTTTTCCTCAGGCTTGTCCTTCTTCCACATGTTTTCTCCTCTACTTTAAGTTTTCCAGCTTTCTAAGGTGTTCAAAGGAACTCATTATTGTTATGTTTGTTTCATTTTAAGAGGTGTGTGATTTCATATCATATCAAATATTGCAGGTTTCTGTCATTTAAAAAAAAAACCTAAAAAAATATTCTGTCAAGTTTAAAATTTCATATAGCTGTATTTGACCTTTATAGTTTAGTGTCATTTCTCACTACAAAAATGCAGTCTCTTCATAGCTTTTTCATAGGAAATTACTGTCAGAATCAGTCATGCATTTCTTGTGTTTAAAGTTTTCTTCTCTATTGATGGATGTAACCTATATATATGTGTCAATATTTCAATGGAATTATAGGTTAAAATGGCATAACAGCTGTAAGACAGACAGCTAGCATTAAAAAGAAAAAAGTCACTTGCAATTTGTGGCAAATTAATGAAGTGAGGATTATTGCAAATTATGGAATTGCTTCCAGCTGGATTACATAGCATAACATAGAGTTTGCATTAAGCTTTTTGTTTTCTGTCTACTATAGGAAAAAATGAATGCAACACACAGCATTAATGAGTGGCTGTGTTATTCCCTTCTTTTAGATCACTCCAGTTCCAGGCACTCATCCACTTTTAGTTTTTGTCAATCCTAAAAGTGGTGGGAAACAAGGAGAAAGGTAAGGTTTATTTTCTCTTTTTTTTTTTTTTTTCTCTTTCTCTATTCTGATCTCTGTGGTATGTTTAAAAATAAATGTTAAAAGTTTGTCTTTTAACAGGCAAGAAGTTGGAAAATTTTGGAAAAGAAATCCAACATTTTATACTGTTATGCCTCACATTTGAACACCCCATTAAGAAATCCAACATTTTATAGTGTTATGCCTCACATTTGAACACCCCATTTCCCTGTTCAGAGGAGGTACACACTAGCATATAGTTAAAATTCTGCAGTTAAAAACTAGAATGATTTCTATACAACAGTTTCATTTCACATCAGAAAAAGTAGCTATATTCAGTGTATGTTTTTTTGTGATTTGCTTGAAGATGTGGATTGCTATAGTTTGCATTGCAACTTGAAGTTATAACAGGTTTCTTTTAATTTCTGTAATAATTATGCAGACAGGCCAATAATTTAAATTGGAAACAGCATTCCATTTTCTAATGTATGACTTGGCTTTCAAAGATTTAGCGAGTAGACTCTCCAGCCTCTCCATAAGATTTCCTACAGTGAAGAAACCTTTTGTTTTCTAGTGCACTAGCACTCAACTTGACTTTTTTGTAGTACAGATATGAAGTGACTAGATCGGGAATCCAGTCTGGAGTTATGTAGGTGAGAGGCAGGTTAGAGAGCTGCACTTACATATTGGTTATGACCTAGAAACAATTTAATGAAATGCTGTTTCACAGCTTTCAGCTGCTAGCTCATAATTGGTCTCAAGTGTTACTATCTGAATGGGCTTAATGCAGGAGGGATGTCATTTAATGTTAGATATTCTCCAGAGTAAAAGCAAGTTTAAAACCTGATCACCTTCCCAAGATCCTATTCCCATTCACGTATTGCAGCCCGATACTTCTCAGATTATGTTAATGCAACTGTTACTGAGGCCAAGCAGATCACAGGAATGATTTGAATTTAAAAAAAGAATGCCTTATACATGCTTCATTCACTAACACCATTACCTACAAGTGTCATTACACAACGAGGTGTATAGCATGAGGGCATCCACCAGCAGTTGAGTATAGTAAAGTATGAGAACCTCTTCAGCTGGCTTTGAGGCCACGTAAAATAAAATGTTAAATTGCTGTCATGGTTTAACCTCAGTCAGCAACTGAGCACCGCGCAGCCGCTCGCTCACTCCTGCCCCCCGGTGGGATGGGGGAGAGAATTGGAAAAGCACAAGTGAGAAAAACTCGTGGGTTGAGATAAAAACAGTTTAATAATTGAAATAAAATTATAATAATAATAATACACAAAGCAAGTGATGCACAGTACAATTGCTCACCACCTGCTGACCGATGCCCAGCCAGTCCCCAAGCAGCGGCCCCCCCGGCCAGCTTCCCCCAGTTTATGTACTGAGCATGACGTCACATGGTATGGAATGTCCCTTTGGCCAGTTTCGCTGTGCACCAATCCCAGCTTCTTGTGCACCTCCAGCCTTCTCAGTCGGTAGAGCATGAGAAGCTGAAAAGTCCTTGACTAGTGTAAACACTACCTAGCAACAACTAAAACATGGGTGTGTTATCAACTTTGTTCTCATCCTAAATCCAAAACACAGCACTGTTCCAGCTACTAGGAAGGAAATTAACTCTATCCCTGCCGAAACCAGGACAATTGCATACTAATGTGTCAAGGTTGCACTCAATATTTCTGTGTTAGGAGGAGCACATCAAAAGGTCAACTGCATAGTCATGTAGACATATCTCAAGTCATTCACCAGCAGGAGATAATATCTCATGGTTAGATCTAAAACTAGATTCAAAAAGGTTAAAAAAAGGAGTACTCTTCCACATATGGACTATTTTATGAGAAGGGGTTTGCCCTCTGCCTTTTAGGTGTTAGTGTTTCACATCAATACCAGTAACATAAAAAATTATAAAATAAGGATGTTAAGAGTGCGTATTAGCTTGAAGATTTAATCTAAGGGATGAAAGCATTTTCAGGGAACAATAATATTTAACTTTTTTACTTTTCCTGGTTTTTATTTGGCTGCTCTACAGTTAGTAACCAGAAAGAGAGGAATCCCATATTCCCCCCGCTCCCCTCCAATTTTGTGGCAGTTACATATTGTGAAAAGAAGAATCACAGAACATTTAAGACATAAATAGCTTTGTAAAATGCAGAGTTATGGTGATTCAAGTCAGGCTTTTTGATTATAGCGATTTTGTAATCTGGTCAGGTATTGAGAGGCTAGTAGAGGATAGGCTGTGGCAAAAGTAAGATTTCCACAGCAGTGAGGGGAAAAAAAACCAAACCACAACCTACTAATTCTTGTAGATGAGAATTTAATTATCTTGACTCATTCAGATTAAGGTGATCTTTTACTGAAAGCTGTTCTTCAGTCTTTACTTAGGATTTTCTGTATTTGAGAGATCACGGTGAATGAATTTATGATTTCTAATTGACTTTCATTGAACACAGAAAGGTTATTGCAGATACTGTCAAGACTCCAGTGTTCCCACAGTTCCCCATATGAGATTTTATGCCTTGCCATATGGTAACCCAGCCCATTTCATTGCCCTTAGACTTGGAGAGAGTGTATGCATCCATCTGACAACCAGTTGAATAAATGCCCCAGTAATACTCTGTCATTTCCTTTTGTATTTTGCAATTTTTCTTAAATCTCTCAAATGCAAAGGAAAAGAACCGAGGATCGCTTTAAGGTAAAAAAAGTTAGGTGCTTTAGTTTTGGTTTTTGAATGTTGGAACAGAGGGGTGGTGGGAAACCAATGGATATGTAGAAAAAGTGCATTCAGAACACAAAAATACTTTCTCTACAACCATATCTAATTACCTTATCGATATGTTTTAAAACTTCAATTCTGTTGGAAAGCCAGAGTTTTGCAAAATGTATAGTGATAAATACCATGTTCTTCTTGAATAGGTTTCTCTTTTAAAAAACAATGCTATGACTTTCAGATATAATTGCAAAATAAAGAACTGTGAAAATAACCCAGTTATACTTTCTTCTCAATGGAGAGATTAATACTTATTGCCCATCACCTGAAACATAAATGCATTTACAGTTATTTGGACTTAAATGATTTAGTCCAATGGATAATGCATATGCTTATAACAAAATAGAACAAAAATATAATTCAATGTTTATTAAGAAGAAAGTAGCAAATTAGAATTAAAGTTGATGAGTTTAAGCCTTTCACACATCAAAAATAGATTGTAATTAAGCATGAGATTGGATAGGAGTTCAGCAAACCCAGTCAGGTGTCTTCCTCAGGCTATATCACACTGTAACATGTTTTCAGTGATTGTGCATAAAACGGACAGGTGTGGTTAATTTCATCAGAAAAAAATTGCGGTACATCCCTTTCATCCTAGAGCTAACGGTCCTGTATGTTGGCATTTAAGATCTGACTAATCAAGAAAACAGCTTTCAATAATCTGTGAATAGAATGTCTATATTTAGTACATCATTGACAAAACAGTTTCTTTCAACAGAAAGAACATACAACAAGCATGTAGTGCTTCTAAAGACTGTTATTGTTAAGGGTAATGCTTCTCATGTAAGAGTCCTTCTAAATCATGCTGTTGTTTTGCCATACTCATTACTTTGTTTTCCACTTCCCCATTTTCCGATTTATTTGCCTGGCCAGCAGGTGAGTTTAAACAATTGTTTCCTTGACAAATGTGCGGTTGGATGCACAGGAGATCAACTTCCGTACACTGATGACTCCAGCTGCAGTGTCTGTGCAGTACAGGTTGATGATATGTTTGACCTTTGTTGTTTTCAAATAACTCTGGTTCAGAGTAGTTCTTCCCTCCTAGCCTCTGATTAATCTGGCTTTCTAAGCTTTCATTTAGCATTGAGACAAAATGTAGAAGCAGTTTCAAATGATCTTTTTCAAATGTTGTATGTCTAGGAGAGATCATCACTAGGATTCTTTTACTTTTGAGGAGGAGTCCTTGGCTTCTTTCTTCTCTGCCATTAGGGTTAGATTAAACCTATACTGACCACATCTTGAATAGTCCCGCCCCAGATGACTGGAGATGCATCCGCCAGTTGGCACAAGGCACTGCTATGGCCAACTTCTTCCCCAGTGTAGTCAACTTTACTGCCAGTTTTGAATTGCTGATGTCTGTCCTTCCTTTATCTCTCTAAAGTAACGATCTTATGACTTCAGAAGGTAGCTCTGTCTAATTCAGCCCAAGGTGCACTTAAGGGTATTTTCTTCAGCAGCAGAGCTGTTTAAAGATGATCCCAGCCCTCTTGGCCCCTCCTGCTGTAATTTCCTGCCTCCTCAGTTATGCTAGTGCAGCTATTTTGAGGTTCGTATGAGATCACAGGCATGATTTAAGTGAAGGGAAAAATGACAATGAAGAAACTTTTCTGAGGATTTCTATTTTAAATTGAATCTATTTAGTTTTCCAGATCACAGAATAATCCCGCAAACAGTTACGGAAGCACAACTGTTTGTTGACAAACTGTGTGGTGGGGTAAGAACCAGCTGGAGGTGTTGGGGAGAAGAAATAATTTCATGAACTGGCTTTGTTCATGAAATTGCACTCTATCACAAAAAGCTGTCTTTTGGGGCATTACCCACTACACTGCCTCGTGGCTTTGTCTGCACAAATCTCCGGTCGCAAGGAAACCATGTCCAATTCCTTCTTTACATGCAGAAGCAAGATGTTCAGAGACATGTCAGTATCAATAGGCTATTTGGTACTGTACGTATAAAACTGGAAGGCTAAATTACTGTCCATTTCCTTGTTTTGCATGTGTTACGCTGTTAGGTCTAGTTAGTCTAGTGTGGAGGCAAACATTTATAGACAGTTTCTTCCTCTTTTTTGGCAAATTTATGAATGGAAATGAACCATCAAGTTATGAATTTTACACAGACTAGCATACATAAATATGTTATAATAACTTAAAGCATGATGTGTCATTTGCAGTGAGTCATTATAGAGTGATTATCTGGTATTGATGTTTGACTAGTACCTCTGAATGTCATGCAGTGAATCAAGTAGGATTCAGTGTAATCTCTTCATTGTTGCAAATGGACTTCTGGGTTTTGGCTAGAGGGCTAGCTGGCTTTTATAGCATTTCACTGATACCTGACAACAGTATTGTGAGTGTAGGTAATGGCTACTATGTTTTGTAGCATCAAACTTTTAGGCAAATAGCTCTTAAGCCTTTGGGACTTGGAACAATACATGACCTTCTTATGATCAGCTACACAAATTAAATTAGCTGCACCTTTGACCAGGTTAAATCCTATATGTCACTGAGAAGCAACTTACACATACTAACTAGAAAATTAAAAACAGGATCCTTTTACATTGGTAAGATGCTGCAAATGAAACGGAAATACACGGTGTTGTAAATCCACTGTCAAATATCTGATTTAGTCGTCATCACAACCATTGACAATGATGTGTGCATGCTTGCAAAGTGAAACCAGTCATTTCACATTGACTTTTTCTGTCAGGAATGGCATCAGGAATAGGTTGTGTGAGTGTATTTGAATACAGTGCTTCATGAAGAAGCTGGTACCACTAAACAATTGAGATGCTAAGAAAATGTTCCAATTTGGCAATTTTGGAGATAATTATAAATCTGTTTGCATTCAGTATTCTTACACCTTTGTCTTCCACCTAGCCTGATAAATTATGCATTACTATTAAGGGAAAAAAAAAAATTCCTCAATGTGCACATAGATCGTGTCTAGACAGTTTTATTTTGCTGAATTTGAAAACGTGGACATTTTAACTTAAAACTCAGCTCTTATTATGCTTCTATTTTATTTAAGACAGCAAAAAGAAAGGAAGAGATATTTCAGTGGAAAAATAAATGCTATCTTAAAAACATTAAAATACTAATTAGCTTGAGGACATAAACATTAAAATTAAAAGCAAGAAACAGGGGTTTATAATTTAAACTATTGTCCCAGGTAGATCCCAGGTATGTATTTATTCGTTCTGAGCTCCAGCTCTTTCATGTACTTATTGTTCATAATAAGAAATGAAGCAGCTACCACATTGTAGTCAATGTAGGAAATTACATTTCTAATATTTGTAATGAAGAAACAAAATGTTTGTCATACTTTTAGGACAAGTAACCTCAAGTTGATAAAGTTACAGTTTTTGAAATATTCTGCCATTTAAAGAAGTATTTGCTGGGGGTGGGACAGCAAATGGGGTCCCTTATGGGGTACGACAACGCTTTTCATGCTGTATCAATAAATTGCTTCCTGTTATTCAGATAATTTTAAAATATGTGTAATTTAAGTAAAACAATGGTTTTGAATCTTTTTCATTTTCTTCCCATTCAAAAATAATCCAAAGGAGGTGTAGTTGACAATAGATTTGCTTTCTCAAAATGTTGTTCAACCTGTGGGGACATTTTTGGTGGGTGGCAAAGCCAGTTTGCTTTTGCAATTAATTATACTTGTAATTTTGTGTTAGCAATAAATTTCAGGAATAAATCTCTCCTTTACCGTGGAGTTACCTTAATAGGAACCAATGTGCTCTTCCAAATGCTTTTTTTGATTCACCTTGTGTCATTATACCTCCTTACCCTACTTTTTTTTTCTGTCTATAAACAGCATTTGAATTGTAGATAGCTTGTAACACTTCTATCTCAATTTTATGCCCACAATAGACTGTATGTATGAATTATAATTGCTGTGTTCAAATATTTGATTTTTTTTTTGTATAAATGAGATCCTGCAATACAAATAATTATGTGTTAACTTCTTTATTTCTTTCATTGATAGCTTTAAAAAAAAATTCCAAACATGTAAGTAAATATTTTGTCCTTGTCTCTTTTACCTCTTCAGAATTTATAGAAAATTTCAGTACCTTTTAAATCCTCGTCAAGTTTATAGTCTTTCTGGAAATGGACCAATGCCAGGGTAAGTCATAGTTAATATTATTACCAGGAACTCATTTAATAAAATGCTACATAATCAAATGAACAGACTGAGGCACATATAGCATGTTTTGAATGTATCAACACTGCAGACCTCTGAATGGCTGCAGAAATTTACAGGTATTATTTGTTTACATATACAAATAAAACTATGTATCATATGTTTTACTGATAACCGTGCAGTACTCTTTAAGAACAGTGTGATAAATTTCATTCTGTTTTCAGCTTTTACTTCTGTATCAGCAGCCCAAGTTCATGTGGGGGTTACTTTAGTCACAAATACCAAGCAGCCTCAAAGACTGACCTGCAGGACATACATTTCTTTTATATAAACCCATATGTGCACATACGTATGTGTCTGTGTAATATATATATATAGTGTACATATTTATGTATTCTTATGCATGACAGATATGGAATGTTGTTTCAAATTACAGTGGCTGCGCGCTCCTTATCAATTCCATAATCTTGGGGATGTAGTGGGCCAAAAATGACTGGACAGGCTAGATTATGCTGGCAGTGACTTTTTATGGGGACTGAAGTGTTATCTGAACCAGGTGGTGTTGCAGTCACTCGCCTAACATGCTTCTTCCATGATTCCTCCTATTTTGCATTCATGTGAAGACAGGAGAATTGCAGTATATCAAATACCAACTTTTGCAACCTGAAATTGGCTCCTTTTTAAGTAGTGGGTACTTAGGTAGAAGAAAACAGTTAGACCAGCACTGAACATCTGGTCTGTGTATCATTTTGTATGTATTGGATGTTATTTAGTTATGTCACTGATACATGAAGTTTTACATCAGTGTGAAGAGTTGCAGAAGGTTATTAGGAGATAAATGTTCACTGACATGAAGTTTACGCTTGTTGTTTGAATACTTTTTTTTTGTAATCTTCGGAGTTTTTATTTATTTAGACTTTTTTTCTTTTAAGTTGGAGGAAAATAAGATGAAGGTGGAAATGTATATCGTTTGTGCCTTGCAAAGTTATATTTCAGTTGTCACAGATATGTTACTGGAAAGAGTATGCTCTGACAGTTTCTGCCAGTACTGCTGGTTTTAAGGCCAAATACACAGAAAGCTGTTCTCTCTTAAAACCATTCTACATCATCTGTCCATTCATTTATTGTGTTAGACTTGGGATGTGTATAGCATTGATGAAACTGAAAAGCGGCTTGGGCCCAATCCTTTTTGAAGTTAAGATTCTCAGGATATCTTGCACTACAGTGTGGTTAATGTGCAACCTGCAGAATGGTGCAAAACCTGCTCAAAAAATTGAAATAATGACGTGCGTGGTTTCTTTCATGCCTGTAATTTTATCCTGTACCTGAATGCTAGGGCTGTTTTATTTCTCAAATGGTATTTGTTGTTTGTGTTTTGTTATGCTAGTCTTGACACATATGGAAAATTTAAGTAATCTTAGTCAAAAGAGTAAGTAGACTAGAAAAATTGAAGAAACTTATTTCAGGAATTTATAAGAAATTTTAACTGAGACAAAACTGGTAAACAATATTGTTTTTTTCATACGGTATAATAGAAATGCCATACTAGAGATTGAGATGATGACTTTTAAAACAACTGAAATATTTCTTTTCAAATTCACCTTATTTCATTGAAACTTTAAAAAAAAAATCAAACTAAAAAAAAATCAAACCCCGCTTATTGACTGCATTTCTGTCTATAACTGACTTCTGGTTTTCATGTGTCTTGTGATGTAAAGGAAAATGTATTTTAAGGCAGAAGCACAAGAGGGCAGTGTTAAGTTCGAACTGAAACCCTGCACTGAAGCGTTTTAAACTTAAGTCTTTTGAACCAGGACAGTGTTTTTTAGAAAATAATTTCTCTTCCTATTAAGAATCGAAATAGTTTTACTTCAGAGTCACTTTGAAGAAATTTCTAATTAATTTTCAAACAGACACTGCATTTTATTAAGCTTGTTTTGGTATACTTTTTTATTCATTCCACAGAAATGAATAATCCTAAATTTCCAATTTATCTCCTGCCATCACTTCTTGCCTCTGGCAATACTATGTAGGCTGCATATAATTTGTCCCTTAAGCGAGCAGTTGAATAAACTCTGTATTTCACTTACCAGCCCTTGTTTCCCTTTCTGCGAGGGTTGGATTGCCTAATAAAACCTGCCTATCCATCCATCTGTCCACTCACTCATCCATCTCTATAACGCCAGTTATACTGGATTGTCAATCAAAATGTTACATTTATTTAATATTGTCATATGTGTCGTTTAGATTGAAATAGAACAGAGTGGGGGATTGCACAGCACAGAGAAAAACAAGTGTATTCTTTGTGCTAATTACTGTTATTGAGTGGAAAGGGATAAATGTAATGTATATTTATTTTAAAGGATTTATGATTATTGTAATACATTTTAATTGAGTCTATTCTGAGATTTTTTTCTTTTGAATACTAATTTCAAACATGTTTACTCAACCTATAGAATGTTTATAATATTAGGGTAGAATTTGCATGTTTTTGGTAGAGCCAAACTCTCTGCTTTAACCCACAAGTTAATGTTTGTTTTTTATTTATGATGGTATTTTTCTGATGGGCTGCTGTCATCAACCAAGAAGAAAACATCCACAGGTTTTCTGACTTGAGTTCCAAGCATCTGTGGCTAATGTGAATTGATATTTCCAGTTCATTTCCGTCAAAAATCTAAGTATCTCCTGTTTAGATAACAGGGAGAAAGACAAGAGAACTAGGTGGCCAGGAAAATCCTAAATCTTAGGGGGACTGTGAAACCGCTGTATTTTTAAAAAAAAAGTCGACAGCTCAATCACTAGGTCTTCCGTTCTTCCTCTTCAGTGCGATAACCATGTTCTTTCACAGAAATGTGTTGGAATAAAAGGCTCCTTAGTAGACTTGAGCTGTAACAGGGGTAAAATAATCTTTGTTGAGAGGACGAAGGGCCACTAGTGGAGTCCCATATTTGAATTTCCTTGAAATGTGGAAATAATACATTCCATTTTCCCTTTCAATCATCTCCCTTAAAAAAAACCAAACACCACCAACAAAAAAACCACGACCCCCCCTACCTTTCATAATATCAGTTATTGTGCATTTTTTTATAAATATGCTGGTGTGTAGTAGGCCAACAGAAGAATATTTTGAACAAGTTGACAATGAATTTTAGTATTGCTATCTGAATGTGCAATTACTCAGATGGATGTGTCACCTACTTTCATAATAGATGGGATGGTACTTGGAGAACTGCAGGGACAGCAACAAAGATGTTTCTTGTAGCTTCTTAGCATGCCTAAGCTAAGGTTTTCGGAGCTGTTTATGTCAAGACTCATGTACATAATCTATATAGAAATATGTACATGATGCAAATAAATTGCACGGCAGCCGACTCTCTGACATTGAGTCCTTTCCAGCAACGGAAACTGACCTGCTGTGAGGCCTGAAAATCAAGGAGCTCTCAGCCAAAGGGCAACAGTACGCTTTAAACACTGGTATAATAATTAATGGTTTCGACATTCTTTATTTGGGAGTAGAGAGATACGGGTGAGCTGGAGAAACCCTGTAAGCTCTGCAGCTGAACACAGGAATAAAAGGTACTCCACAGTTATAGACTGCCACAGTTAACAAAGTGACATGAAAATTGCCAGGCTGATACATTGTGTAATTTGTGCCTAGCCACCTGTGTTTTTAGCCTTGAAAAGAGTTTCCCTGTTTGGTTGTTACATCTCTGTAGGAGTCTTCTACTTCTGACAACAACTGTTATTGTGGATTTAATGATCTTGAAGAATTTGAAATTCAGTTATTGTTCACCTCACAGAGAGGTAAATAATAGCTGGATGAATAGCAGTCGAGCCACAGACCCACATGACTCTGTGGAGAGGTCACCGTTTCACAAAGGCTTTGTCCCTCTGAAAAGGCTCCTGTTCCCTTAAGTCTATTATTTAAAGTGTCTAATTTATGTTATTTTTATACTCTATAACAGAAATTACATCCACAAAAGTTGTATTTCTTTGTAACTCCCTTAAGCATTTAATTTGGAGAGCATATATTTTTTTAATTCTATCTGCAAGTTTACCGTAACAGGCCTTTTAAAATCTTAAATTCTGTCCGCTTAAAAGATGCCCAGGACAGCCAGACTGAATCCCTACAACTTACTCTGTAATTTAGTTGGGAATCTACAGCACCTGGGCCTTTATAACATCACAAAGCAATAGGCCTCTTTTGAAAATGACACTGTTTTCCCTGATGACTGGAAGTGATTGCTAGAGCATTTCTTTGCTGTTGGACATTTGGAATAGAGTATTCTGGGAAGACATATACACCAAGAATATTTTTAGAAGATAATAACTGCATAGGTATTTTCTCCTGAACAAAACCTTGAACCTGGTCTGTATTTCTTTGGAAGAATTACATTTTTGCCAAAGAATGGCAAAGCAAGCCATAGTGGGTTGGTTGAACGCAAATGACTAAAGTTACAGTTGTGCACCATAAAACAGTAGTACTTAGAACTCAATAAGTCTTCACATGTGAAACTTAAACCTTGGGTTTACAGATATATTTTAAACAGCTGTTTAACAATATTTTTACTCCTATGAGTCTGTGGTGTTTGCTGCATACATAGCACAATCTTTAAATATTGTAAATATCGCCAATTTCTACTCCTATCTCAGTCTAGACTTCCAAAGTTGCGAGCCAGATTCATTCACCTCTCTCTTAACCACTGTAATTGTTCAGTAGTGAGTTTGCCACACCCTTACAGCCTTTGAAATCTATTTTAAAAGCCTCTGCCACATCCTTTAGCCTGCTAATTAGTTTGCTCTTCTCTCCTCGCATTCTTGAACTGTTTCTCTTTTCTTGGTCACCCCCAAATAAGCTTTTGACTATCACAGTTAAGTTACTTCTGAACGTATGACATCCAGCATCTTTCCTCCCCACGCTACCCAGCATATATTGATTCACTTTTCCCACAAATGGTTCTGTATTTCTTCTTCTGACTGGC